TCCAGGCATTAGCCCCCGAGTGGAGAGCTGAGTCTCTGACGAGGATTCAATTGGCGAGGAAAACAAGTGGCATATGATGGTGGGGGGTGGGGGGCGCAGAGATGGCTGTTTGGGAATTATCTTCTCAGCCAGAGCAGAGAAAGAAAGAGGCACTTAGAGGTATCTTGTTCATTACAAATGCATGAAGAATATTTTGCATGTGCATGTCATTCTATTTTGAGCTCACACACACACACACACACACACACTTTTCTGCAGGGGGAGCATATGGAAACAGGTTGTTTTCCAACAGATTACATCTGATTTTGTTAACGCTCAAATCATCAAATACACAACATTTTTTTATGCTTCTTATTTCTGAATTATGTAGTTTACATGTACACACATATTCATGACAGGCCTGTCATCAGCTGGTTTTAGCGAGCACGCACACACTCATTGTGTAATACTGTTCTTCCAGTCCTTCTAGCCTGGCTATCAAAATAAAGCAGGTCTCTCAGCCTCCGGTAACCTCGTCAAGCTCCCTTGAGACACACACAAACACACAGACAGTGTGTGTGTGTTCTCATAGTCAGTTTGTTTTGGCTTTGAGAAAGATCGGCCATCATCACCTTGGCAAACAATTCCAGGAATCCTGTATAAATTATTCATTTGCACAAGCTCTCCCGTCTCCCTCCCTCTGCTCCTCCTTTCACCCTCTTCCTCCAGGAAACGGACTTCACTCTCCTTGACAAAGCACTTTCTCTGTTTCCCTCATTCATTCAACAAGTGAGGAAATGGATATGTGGAGCAAATTCACAAAATGGCTACCCAAGGTGCAACTAAGTTAAGCAGCACAGTAGAAAAATAGAGGAATTTATTCATCAGGCTTTCTAATCATGTGGCACTCACTTTGCCAAAGAGAGAACATTTGAGAGAGAAAAAAAAAAAATAATAAAAAAAAATTGTAGGCAAGCGTACGAGAGATAAACAGGGACCACAACAGAGAACAGAGGGAGCGAAAAAAAAAAAAAAAACAAAACACAAAGCATCCCCCACCACAAAGTCAGCAGGGCACGATGCTGAGGCAGCCTAATGAGCTGCGCTAATTAAAATCACTTATTGACAGCAAGCGAGGGTGATTACCTCCACCCTGCACTCTTTGCCATCATAAGAGACACTGTCAAAACAAATTACCCCCCGGCAGCCGCACAGATCCCTTTCATAGCAACTATTCAGCTCGGCAGCAGCAGTAGGGGAAACTGTATCTGCGGGAACTTGAATTGCAGTGTTTGTGTGTAAAGACACAACTGGTGCTACCATGTAAGGGATGGGGAGTAGATATTTATGTGCGCCCCGTGTTTATACCTATTCCCCCTCTCTTTTCAATCGCGCTCTTAGTTTATCATTTCTTTGCCACACTGCAATAAATCTTCAGCACAAGCGAAGTAATATGCCTGCCTGCATCCAATAATCCAGCCTCCCTCCGGTCGCACCAATAACAGGGACAGCTGAGGGGCATCTGTTTACCACTCGCTGATGTCACCACAGACACTCGTTCACCAGGGATGGGAGATCGTGTGTGTGTGTGTGTGTGTGTGTGTGTGTGTGTGTGCGTGTGTGAGAGAGAGAGTGTGTGTGTTGGGGGGGGGCATGCATTATTCAGAGATCTCAGTCGTCTCCACCGGGCTTATTGATAAACAAAGGAGATGCACAGGAGAGGACAAGTCGATTAACCCATTTACCCTGAAGGCCCTCACTTCTTTCCTGTCTCCACCCCTTACCCCACCACCACACCCCTTTTTTTACCCACTTGTTTTGTCCACCGCCACCATCATCTAACCACAACAACCAGCTCCACCCCCACCCTGCATCACTACAATCTCCTTGTTGCTTTACAGAGAAACGCTCAGCAACGTGAAGGAAGGGGGGTGGGCAGCTCTACGATAAACTGTAAACACACCTAGTAAGCGCGCATGCACACACAGAGACACACACACACCACGTGCCTGCAGAAAATGTCTACGCTTGATGAATTGCGCAGTGTGCTGCTGTTCCAACTGGGCTACCCTCCCACTGATGCCATTAACCTTCTGGATCTGAGGGCCATGAAGCCTCCACCCCACCCCTCTCCATCTCTCTCTCTCCCCCTCTGACAGACTCCCACTCTCATACATCATATCACACAGCTAATGACACAAGGACCATCATTCACATCACATCGTTGGGGCGGCGGGGGCAGAAAAGGGAGGAGGGCGCAATGAAAAGACATAAGGGCGCCAAGAGGAGGTGGAGAAGGAGAATTAGGGAGGCAAAAGCGACTGAAGGAAACAGAAAGCAAGTGTGAATCAGAGCAAATGGAAATGTAAGTGCAGGAAGATAAAAAGGGGGCAGTCTGGAGATTATGTTCATCTTTTGTTCTTCTCCTTTTAAAGTAAACAGAATAAAAACATTATGCTGATGTGATTTCACACAGCTGACTACAGCCTCGGGTCACATCGTTAGCTAAACGGA